AGGAGGCTCTCTTCACTCCGCGGGCACCGCTTACTGGTAACAAAGTGGGACGTGAAAGCCTGCGCGAACTGCGCCCAACTTCTTATTGATTTGGGCGTCAGGTTCTGGTACCATGTGCGGGCTACTCCCCTGAAGGTGGTGGAGAAGGCCACACACATACACGACTCACTTGCTCTTGCTAGGTGCATTTGCGACTGGAAGGCATCTATGTGATCATTTGGGTTGAAAGACCCATCATACTTATCAAGAGGGGGGAGCTTGAAATCTTTAGGCATTGGGACTACCAGTAGCTTGGGAGATAGGGGAATTGAACTGAAAGAATGGGCGCTTTGACCTCGCCCGAGCTTACCTCTTCTTTGCCTCCGAGTTTGGGTAGGTCGCGGGTAGCAGACCGGCGAGCTCGGCGGCGGCGTCTCTGCTTTCTGGCGAGCTTGGCATTCGTGTTGCTCGCTTTTGTACTGTCAGGAATGGTGTGTGCAGGAAATGGCTCGGGCCGCTGGTGATGACTTCGAACGGAGGGCTCTTGCTTGGAACCTGCGGCTAAGGCATTGAATCGGTTTTCCAGGAACGGGGTACCGGGCCTCGAGGGTCGAGGTGACGTGGGCCTGCCGAGCTGAGGTCCTCCCGACCTGACTGCCCATGGCGAGGTCGGGGCAACTGGTCTTTCTTGTCTATCGTGGGTGGAGGCCTGGCTCCTTGGAGGGTTCTGGGGGGACTCTCCTCAGTGAGGCGAGTGCTCCTCCTGTCGGCGAGACCCAGCTCGCTGCGAGACCCGGTGCCGAGGGGGAAGCTGTGATTGCTGAAGCTGAGGCTGAGAAAACTTGGGAAACTACTGCTGATACTGGTACTAGGAGACCTGGTGCAGCATATGTTGTTGATAGAGCTGAAGTTGTTGGAACTATTGCATTTGAGCCTGCATGGCCCGCATGCACTGCATCAAGTCCTCCACTTGATTCGGGCTGGCCGCCGAGGGCACGACCGAAGGTTCGGTGAACGTCGCTCCGACTGTAGCAGGGAGTGGGGCGACGACAAGTGCCACTGTAAGAGGCATATTTAAGCTGGGGATTCCGTCCGCCGAGAGGGGGACGGTGAACTGTCCGATACAGACAGTAGGGAGCTGGGGTTGTTCCCTAGAGTTATCCATTTCCGTGCTTCGTCCGACGTTGCTAGAGGAAACCATGAGTGTTGGATTTTTTCAAGGAAGAAAAGAACTACGAAAGTTTAGGGAGAAAGGCCTTTTGAAGCGTTTCCCACAAACGGCGCCAAATGATGTTGCGCGATCCGGTCACTCCTAGCTGGCACTCGCGTGGCTCCTGAGAGGTACCTGAGACGAGAGGAAAGAGGAAGAACTCCTAGGGGGTTTCCTGGCAGGAACGCTCTGATGATTAAGTCAGTACTGTGTGCAAGAAGAGAAGGGAAACGGAAGGCTAAGAGTGAAGGTTGTGCAAGTGATTCGAAGATACCTTGTTCCTTGAGAATGATCCCCTTATAACCGAATCTCATTGCTTCAGGCCCTCTAACTTCTGACAGGGCAGGTAACCGCCACTGTCAACCTACCACAACCGTTACAGGCAAGGCTGAGGTGGCACGCGCGGGGCCGTCGCTGCAGGGTACGTGCCTGTCCGGCGCGAGACACCTTTCTAAAGGTGACAGGCGCGGCGCTATCTAACGAGGGACATGTCTGCTATCCACATATTTGTCGGGTACGGCGGTCGAGCAGGAAGCTTTCATGCGGTATACCGAACTGCCCTTCCGCAGATCACCCTGAGCTGGGCTGTCTCTTGAGTGACGAGCTACCTGTAGCAGGTTATGCCGAGCTGGCTGACCCGAGGTGTCCATGCCTCGAGGTGTCCAGAGATGGATCGATGCGTTCTTGCCTGGGAGTGGCCCGAGGTCCATTGGGGGGAGCTCGGTCCTTAAGAGAGGTCAGGACGTCCTAAAGTGCCTTAACCTCGGGGAGGAGGTTGCGGGTAAGGCAGCTCCCGGTGAGTAGTTTACATGCCGAGTTGTCGAGCTGTACTCGGTGGGACTTTCCCTCTGAGTTATGTTCACACTCATTGCGCTGTCATGCTGAGTCACTGTTTGAGCAAGGTCACGCCCACGTGTACCCGTGCTACGAGGTCGGGCCAAATCACCCTCCATCACAAACCAACCAAAAAAACCGACTGAAACCGAACCAGAAAATAGGTTAACTGAATCGGTCAGTTCGGTTTTAGTTCAATATTCTTAAAAAACTGATAATTTCGGTTCAGTTTCTGTTAACCATTTAAAAAACCGGTGGTTAATCAAACTGACCGATATATACAATAATATATATTTATACAAATAATATAATATTATATATATTATATATTATATTTTTTAGTTTTTTTTTTTTGAAAATCGGCGGTCTAAGAGTATGTGTCATTGTGAGTTGTGCTATTCTGCTTTCCAAAAAAACAAGAAGTCTATTCGTATTTGGTATTGTTGTGAGCTGTGTTGTTTGCTTTTCGAGACAGGACAAAATGACACATACAGAATCGGGGTCCTCACGACTTTTCGACTGCCAATCTCCTCTCTTTTGTCTTTTCCCCAAACTATCAGTTTTCTCTTTTACCTCTCTCACTCTCTCAGTTCTTTTAGTCTCTCAATTTTCTCTTTTCTCTTCTTCTTTTATTCGGGACTCTAATTCTTCGTATTCTTCACTCCAAACGGCCGCGCGGCCTACGCCAACCACCAGCACGGCAGCACCAAGTGGCAATGCCGATCGTCGCCTTGCCGGTAAGCAAGCACCAACGGTCCAACACCATCTCTTCTCTCTCTCTCACCTCTCCTTTCTGCGTCTCCGCTAGGTGCCAGCCACGCCACCTCTCAAGCTCTCACTTCAGACTACACTCGACAACAACCAACGGCACCAACCAGTCCAGCACCAGCAACCACCAACAGTTTTAGTTTGTTTTTTATTTTAAGTGCGTAAAAAAACCAAAAAATCAAACCGCGATAAATCGATTAACCGATTGCATCGCTTCGATTTTGATTTGAATATTTAAAAAACCGATCAAATCGATTCAATTTGAAAAAATATCCCACGATTCGATTATCAAACCATGAGCACCCCTAATTATATGTACTGCATGGCAAAATTTGCAGCCATTATTAGAGCAATATGGGATATACAAGAAATAAGACAGTCCTCCAAAACATAATGCCCGACCTTTGGAAAATAATAGAGCAGGCTCGGACATATAAAATGGTCTCTCCTTCTGTGGTAGACATAAAATGTAACCCACATAATGCAAATGGAGTTCCCAGGAATGTACCACCAGACAGCTATGAAGAAAAAATTTTTCTTTCACCTATGTAGTTGTCTTTTCTTACTCAACCCAGATGGTGAACCTTTTGAAGCACAACCACCTGGCAGCAAATTGAAGCATACAAGGCTTAATCATAGCATCAGATAAAAGAACTAATAACAAAATGGCTCACTCTCTGGCTAATAGAGACCATATCAGAGAAGAAAACAAAAACTCTCTTTTGAGTGCCTCTTGACCATCTAAATCCTCGGGAGGAGGATTTTTAAGTTTGGTTTTTTCTGTTAGTTGTTTTGTTTCTGTATTTTTCTTTAGTTGTGCTTAATGAAATTTATAAGCCTTTTCTTTCTGTTTTTGTTTTTCGAGGGGAGTGTATCAGAAAAGTAGATAAGACCACTTCTCCTAGCATCCTTTATTCTGGGGCCTGTAAAAAATAAAAAGGAGACCAATCAAATAATTTAATTTTATTGTAAAACCCTGACATGTAACACAATTATAAATAATGGGTATTTTTGTTCATAAAATATCAAAAGGAATTTGTCTAGAAATCATGGCATTGGCCTGTTACTGTTAATGGGTAATGGGTCTCAAACAAGAAACCATTATCCAATGTTGGTCTCGGCCTAACCTTTGTCATTATGGCAATAGCATTACCATTATCCACTTTAGAAGTTACTGTCTTGTAATTCGCTCAAACTTGAGAAACACTAACGGGAGTGGGAAGTGAGACGAACTGTGACCAGTGGAACATAATAGAGATGAGCTTGCACAAAGCACTCTTTTGTGTGGTCAAACACTTCCTTGCCCTACAATCATTAAATACAACATAAAAACAGAAGCAGCTTTACACCCAAAATATGATTTCTTTTGAAGGATTATGCTTCATGATTTATTCTCAGTTAGAGGCAGATGGTCTTTCTTTTTTGACATCTCTAGAGTTTCATGCTGTTTAAAGAGATATCTGAGCTATTTCACTCTCAATTGGGGTGTCAATTGGACTGGATTTGGTCCAATCCAATCCAATCCAGTCCATTACAAATGGATTAGGCCCAATCCAATCCAATGAATATTCTGGACCATTTTAGATTGGTCCAATTCAATGTCTGGACCATCTAATCTGTTCAAAACTTGTTTTTAATTTAGATTAGTTCTAACCCAAACCTGGTCCATTGACACCAATACTCTTACCTTCTATCAGTGGACCAGATATTGGCTCAATCCAACCCTATCTAATATAAATTCATTAATTATGGATCAGGTCCAATCCAATCCAAGAATACTTTGGACCATTAAGTCTGGACTGGTCCAATCCATCCAAATTGATTTTGGTTTAGATGAGGTCCAATCCAAAACCGGTCCATTAACACCCCCAACTCCCAATGCTTATGGTTACCTTTTGCTCAGCAAGTTTTACTTTGGTGCTGTATTATTTCACTTTTCTTCCGTTTGTTTTCACAGGCTTTATAATCTTAAGCATAGTCAATTTTACCAAACATGCTTTAAAAAAAATCACTCAATCATTTGAGGACCCTTTGGTAACAATTGGAAGTAGGTAAACTGAATTATTAGCGCCTATCCATTTTTTTAGTCTGCCACTACCTTTCTAGCCCCTTAACTTGCAGTGTATAAAATAATCATATAATAAAAATATTCGGGGGTGTAGGAATCAATCCAACATGCCACTCAGCCATTAAAAAGTACATAACTTGGTGGCAAAGTAATAGGATATCTGATTTACTGCTCCAAGGAACAACAGATGCTTCAGTGGTGCATTACCAAAGGCCATCCATGACAATCACATTTATCTAATCCATCACTCCTTTGATTGCTCAAATGATCATGAACAATAAGCAAATATGCAAGTCCGATGACTAATCATCCCCCAGATCAAATTTTAACAGGGACCATTTGACGGTGCATACAATCCCTAAATCCAGACCATTGACTTAGGCCTCTAAGACTAATAAGAAGTGTAAGAATTGACTGTACAATGACAATTATAAAGGCTAATAATTTTCAGCAACAGGTCTAGAAGGAAAGAGCCTTAAAAGAAATGTAGTCAAGGACCATAAGCAAACCACACCAAGGACTTGGAAAGACACCAACATGGATACCGAAGCATTGCTTCTCTCCAGCAGCTGAGGGGAGACAGGATACCCCTTCATTGAGAACATCATTTTCTCAATAAAATGAGCAGCTTTGCTCAACTGATAGAGCCTATAAATCTGCCAAAAAATTTTTCAAATAATCAAAATACTCGTTTATAGGTAAAAACAAGACAAGAGAAACAATTGCATACCTCAAATATAATGGGCACTACAGGCCAACAAGATGAACCAATTCTGTCCAGATGCACCTCAAATACAAATTGAGCAGCACAGCCAAGTAAAAATGGAGTTACTGCAACCAATGCAGGCAGACCAAGAGCTGGCCATGTTACATAGACAGCTAAGAGAGGGGCAAAGACTTTAAAGCCCATGGTGAAGAAGGCAGAAGTTAAGTATCCTCTGAGGCCCGTAATGAGCCCCCATCTCTTTGCACTAAACTGCAGATATGGCTTTTGAACATGATTGGTGACAAGGAAGAATGCAGCTAGACCTAGATAAAACATAACCTCTGAAGAAAAAGATGCCACAATTTCTGCATAAGGCCAGAAATGAAATACAAATTATATTTTAAAATGTGAAATCCACGAAAGGAATAAATCATGACCAAACTGATGGAAATACATTTAAGAATATACATAATTGGAGCATACTCTTCAAATAATCCAGCTAAAAACTCAACTAGATACCCGGAACTACATGAAACCTAGTTTGAGTATCAAGTCAAGACACATCACAATTCACAACCAGGTACAGATCTAAGAAGTCTTATTGCTAGATAAGATTTAAAAAGTATGTTGCATCGTGTCCAGCTTTACAGGTTTCCGGTAAAATGCACAGAAAAAAGCTCACAGGTATCACCTTAGACAAAGCAAGTGAATTGATAATAGAAGGTTGTGTCATGATCCAAGGACATGTAGACGCACCCTTTATTTTATAATAATGACAGAGTAGCAACCCAGGTTTGTTTTATACTTTTATGTTGAAGTCCTTCAGCAACTACCTAGAACTGCAAATTATCAACCTTAGAAACAGACAAGGTGAAGATTTATGGTTATCAATTAGGATTCGCTAATCCATCTCAGTGCAATTCTATGATATTACTAGGCTAAATATTAGAGGGGTGACATAACCATGACCAAGAAAATGTACAAGTTCATCTTAGATATTTAAGCTTGAAAGTAAACATGAGAGATATATTTTAATCATTCATTTCAAGTAACCCTCAAGACAGTCTTAATCCTAAAGAATTGCAGAAGTGTTTTTCCATTACAGAGCTAATTAAAATGATTACCTGTATGGAGAAGAAAAGTAAATCAACCAGAACTGACATGCCTTAAGCCACATATCTTATGTTGCAACAGCAGCAACATCTTCAATCAATACTTGGTTGCAGCATTAGCATTGCCAGAATTATTTTATTTATATCACTAAGACCAAATAAAAAGAGGGCTTAAATACAAAAAAAAAAAAACTTATTGTTTGAATGAAAGTTTCCACTTCTCAGAGAGAGAGGGAGAGAGACTAAATGTTTTAATATAATCAAGACGTAATATTTATCATTGTATGTCCACACATATGTATGTACATGAAAAGATGTTTACCAATTGTGTCATGAATGGAGCCTACACATACACAACCAACACCACTTAACCACACAGGAATGGTAGGACTGATCCAAGACATTCAGTGGATAAGGAACAAAACTGTCACATGTTTGATATCCCAGCTCACATTCCTAAGCTAAGACCTTGTGCTGCCATTTACCAGTAATTTTATTTGCCATCCAAGTTTCATTTTTTTTTTAATTTAAAAGCTTCTCATTGTTTCACGTTATTCTACAGCATAGTTAAGAGTTTGGGACTGAAATTTATGCCATGAGGTCAAATAGTAGAAAGGAACATGCAGAACATTTTCTGGGCCCAAACCAACAAGCCTTTTTCATTAAATGACCAGAGTGGCAGACATATCATTATACATTCCTCTTCAAGCTCTTGATGCAATAAGCTTTTGTATACTTTTTGCAAATTCAAATTCCATCCAAAATGTCATAAAAAACAGCATAGTACTCTAGAAAATTATATTTCCCTTGATTAAAAATAAACATATCATATACAATTTGGAATTTACTTGCCAGTTCAGACTTTAACATGCATTCAAAATATTCAAAAACCAGTTGTACAGATTTCACATTGTTGATTTTTCATTGATGAAAATCTTTGATATGTGAATTCTCTAGCTTCTTGTTGGTGGCATGATGGCATCAATGTATCCCCAATTTCCTATAGGTTTTTTCTCAGTTAAGTTGTAAATAATAGAAACGATATTTGCATTGTCAAAAGCCATTAAGCCTGTGGTATTCCTTGAGTAGACCATATGGTAATAACAATATAACTGTGGTATTCCTATAGGTTTTTTCTTAGCCAAGGTGCTGGCAGAAATATTGAAAAAGGTGTTGGAAAGTGTAATCTCAGAAAATCAATGTTCTTTGTCAGAGGTAGACAAATTCTGGAGACTATTTTGGTGGCTAGTGAAGACATTGATTCTAGGAGGGGTGAGAAACCAGGGTTGCTTTGCAAGATTGATCTAGAAAAAGCCTATGAAAATAGGCGGTGCTTGAATTTCATCCTCGAAAAAATGAACTTTAGACAAGAGTGGAGAAACTGGATTGGATGAAGGTTTGTATTTCCTCCCCTAAATTTTCTGTATTGGTAAATGGAAAGGCTTCTGGCTTCTTCAAAACTTCAAGAGGCATTTGCCAAGGTGATCCTTTATCTCCTCTCTTGTTCCTTTGTGTAATGGAGGTCCTGATCCAATTTATTAATAGGGTATAAAAACTTCCCCTGAGGTTTCTGACAATCATAAAAACCTCCCCTGTATTTTTTTCATAAAAACCTCCCCTATAGTATTGGAAAAATCTACAGTTACCTCCGTTTTCTTATTGTCATGGGCGGAAAACGTTGGCCTAATGCATTAGTTTTCCAAAAGTGCTGATTTTGCCCTCTTATATACCAGTTTAGATGAAAATGTACTAAAATACCCCCCCCCCCCAATTTCACTTTTAATTAGAAAAATCTCTAAGTTAGACAGTAATTTTACTCTATAAAACGTTAAATAGTGAAGTTTTTTTTTTCTTTCTAAGACCAATTGGATTAATATTGGGTTTTAATTTGTTTGGTTGAAAATTGAATTTTATTAACAGATCGAGGTAGTGATCCCTGATAAAGGAACTAAACTTTTGGGATCCTTTTGATAATGATTTGTTCTTGATGAAAAAAGGGGATAACCTCCTATTGGAGTAGCAACTTGGAGTCTGAGCAGGTGGTCATTCTCCATTGTCTCTACCCTAGTCCAAAGCTATCAGTGAGTTATTGGGCTTCATTGATGCAATTTCTGCAACTTATAATCCATGGAAGGACTCAATTAAGTGAAATCACCACCTTCATTCTACAAAGCAAGAACAAAGAGCATAGTTTTCAAGGTGCCAAGGCGAAGCTAGGCGACAGGGGGGTGCCTAGTCGCCTAGGTGGGTGCCTAGGCGATGGACTATTTTTAAGTAAAAACATGTATCCTAGGGTAGTTCCCTAGGTTCCATAATCATATTTCCTCAATAAATATCCATAATTTTCATAATTCCTTTGGTTGAAATTTAAATTTTAGAGGTAGTGATCCCTAATAAAGGAACTAAACTTTTGGGATCCTTTTGATAATGATTTGTTCTTGATGGCAAAAGGGGATAATCTCCTATTGGAGTAGCAACTTCGGAGTCTGAGCAGGTGGCCATTCTCAATTCTCTACCCGTCCAAAGCTATCAGTGAGTTATTGGGCTTCATTGATGCAATTTCTGCAACTGATTTTTTTTTATGAATAATTTCTGCAACTGATAATCCATGGAAGGACTCAATTAAGTGAAATCACCACCTTCATTCTACAAAGCAAGAACAAAAAGCATAGTTTCATGGTGCCAAGGCGAGGCTAGGCAACAGGGGGTGCCTAGTCGCCTAGGCACCCACCTAGGCGATGGATTTTTTTTAAGTAAAAACATGTATCCTAGGGTAGCTCCTTAGGTTCCATAATCATATTTTCTTAATAAATATCCATAATTTTCATAAGAAAAGTATAACCTTCATGTTAAAGTATAGAAAATCAACATATTCCAACATATTCATGAGAAGAAAAGAAGAAAGAAAAGAAAATTCAAAAATTATAGGGGCCTAACCCCTATTTCTGTTATAGGAAAAGAAAAAAAGAAAAGGTGGAAGAAGAAGAAATTAGTATCTAAAAACACAAAATTAATAAAGAAAAAGAAGATAATGTGTTGATTGGACAAGATTTTATGTTCTTTCTTACTTATTGGTTCAGGTTTTGAAGTCTTTGAGGGTTCAATACAGCATTTAGCAATGTTTGTGTTGACTAAACCCTAAAAAATAAGAAAATAACAAAAAGAAATTAGTATATAGACACACAATGAATATTTTAGTTTAAAAATGTCTATTTTATAATTATAACCTCAAAAAATTAAGAATATAAAAAGTTTGTTAGGCAAGACTCCAAGGGTGCCTTGTCGCCTTGACAACTATGACAAAGAGGCTATTTATCTTAATGGAACAAACTTTTCTAGGACTCCGAGCTCAGATATATCATATATCTCTGGCAGTAATCTGAAAACAAAGGAAAAACTAATAAAATCAAAAGCAGATATCCAAAGCCAATCTAAGAAAGGAACTTGGAAAGAGATTACTCCTTTCCCTCAAATAGTTTGGGAGGGAGGTGTGCCGCCTGAAGTCAAACCACACACACTCATCTCTTACTGTGTGCCTCTGTCTGAACCAAATGCGGCGTGTTAATTTCCACTTCCAGCTATTCAAGAGGCAATTGATCCTTCACTTTTTGCTTAATCAAATAAATCAAAAAAGAAAAGGAAAAGGAAAAAGAAGGAACCCTAACTTTGAAAACTTTGAAAGGAATGATGGAGATATCAAGGCTGCTTGGAGGACAGTCGATTTGAAGAATCACCGAAAGGTCCCCTCAAAACTCAAAAGGCCTGAGAAGATCGATCCAGAAGACAGAAATGATCACTTGCTCTCCACCTCCTAACTAAGCCAACATGTTACATAGTCGAGGACAAGCCTCAAAATCCACATCTGGCTACTCAAAGAGGCATTTCACCAATCACCACTAGGCATTTTGAGTTGATTAGGAAGAGAGAGAGGATTAAATGGATAGAGAAAAGAGAATAAAAGTGTTCATGGGTTTATAGAGGATACGACCTCAGGAGGATTGGGAGGCCACTACAGATTAGGGCATGAAGGCATTAGGAGGACAGTCTAGTGAAGTTTAGAAGGGCAAATTTGGCATTTTGAATTATATTGAAAGATGCCTTAATAAGTTGTAAGGGTAGTTTGGTAACTTTGAAGTCTTCATTGCTGGAACAAGGATAAAAGGGAGGTAACTACAAGTTTTTGGTAAACTACAGGGAAGGATTTTATGAAAGTAAAACCTCAGGGGAGGTTTTTATGAATTGTCAGAAACTTCAAGGGAGGTTTTTATATTTTACCCTAATTAATAATGTAGGCCAGGCTGGTCTCTGGGAGGGTTTCGAAATAATTCCTGGAGGTGAGGAAGTCAATGTTCTTCATTTTGCTGATGACACTATGTTTCATTGGTGCTTCTTTTTCTTAGGGGTGCAACTTGGGCAGGCCCAGCCCGAAATTTTACATGGGCTGGGCTTGGATTTTTGGTTCTCGGGCTGGGCTCGTGCCCAAGAAGCCGGGCTTTTTTATTTTTCGGATCGGACCTGGTTACATATGTACCTTGGGCTCGGTCTTGTCTCAGGCCTTAAGCCCAAATTTAAGGGTCAGGCCCAGGTTGACCATAAACCCAGCCCAACCCGCCCGACTTGCACCCCTACTTTTTCAGCTGGAAATGTTAATGGGGATTTTCTGTTGGTTTGAGGTGGTACCAGGGCTGAAGATGAATCTGGGAAAGTCCTCTCTCATTCCGGTGGGCAGAATCAAGGAGCAAGATGTTTGGGCAAAGGATCTGGGATGCAGGGTGGATAGTCTTCCTACTAGTTACCCTGGATTACCGCTGTGTTCTAAGTGCCTATCCTCAACAATTTGGGAGCCTGTCTTGGAAAGAATAGAAAGAAAACTTGCTTTGTGGAAAGCTAAGTATCTGTCAAAAGGGGGAAGAGTAAATATTGATTAAAAGTACTTTTGCAAATCCCTACTTATTATCTTTCCCTTTTCCCTATTCCGAGTGAAGTGGCTAAGAGAATTAAGAAATTGCAAAGGGGGTTTTTGTGGAAAGGGTGGGAGGATGAGAAGAAAATTCATGTGGTGGCTTGGAATCAGATTTGTGCTCCTCGAAGTTCAGGCAGTTTAGGACTAAGAAGAATAAAATCTTTCAACACAGCACTAATGGGAAAGTGGATTTGGACATTGGGAGTTGAAGAAAATAGCTGGTGGAGGAAGCTCATTGCAGCCAAGTATGGCCTTCAATCTAGAGGGTGGATGACTGCTATTGAGCTCCCTCTTATGGGTGCTCTTTATGGAAAGCCATTATGCAAGTTCTTCCTAGATTCCTTAAAGGGATGGGTTTTAAAGTGGGAGATGGTGGCAGAATTCGCTTCTGAAAGGATGGATGGTTAGATGATGCAACTTTAAAGGATAAATTTCCTCTTTTATTCCCCTTGGCTGAGAACAAAGATGCCACAGTTGCCGAGTCTTTCGAGTTGGTTAGAGGAGAAGTGGTTTGGAATCCCAGATTCCGTAGAGCATTTCAAATTTGGGAAGTGGAGGTGGTGAATCTTCTTAACTGCCTAAGCACTTTCTCTTTTGACCCTTAGTCGAATGATCATTGGACTTGGAAATGGAAGGCTGGTGGGAAGTTTTCGGTTAAATCCTTTGTTGATGGCTTAAATGATCTGAGGAGATCAGAGTTTCCCTTTCAACAAGTTTGGATTCCTTTATCTCCTTCCAAAATCAATTTCTTAGTTTGGGCTTCAGCTCTTGGGAAATGTCTAACAAGAAGTAACTTGGCTAGAAGAGGAATCATCTTAGTTGTGGGATATGTGGTCAAGAAGAGTCCATTGACCATTTATGCATCCACTGTTCGGTTGCCTGGAGGGCATGGTCTCACTTCTTGCAAGCCACTGGCATCTGTTGGGTTATGCCAGGATCGGCAAAGGTTCTTCTGCAAGTTGATACCTCCCAGGTTTATCTAAAACAAGGCAAATGCAGCAGCTGTGATTAGTACTATTTGGTCAGAGAAGAGTGATAGATTATTTAGAAATCAAAAAAAGAGTTCTGATGTGCTGATCCATTGAATTGTTGCTAGGATAACTTCTTGGTTATCGGTTGTGCCTGATTTTAGTAATCGTAACATGTTTCTGGTTCTAAATTCAGTAAGTGCATGGGATATTTGATCTCTATCTCAGGAGGATGACTGTTTGTCTCCCCTCTGATTGTATGTTGTACCTCCTCTGAATAAAATCGCCTTACCTTTTTACAGAAAAAAAAAAAAAAGACACGTGGACATTACAAAGCATGCTTCCAAATTTGCTTCAAAACCCATGGAAATAGGATCCAAAGAAAACAACAGGATTGGTGGATGTTCCAATTTTAGATACTAAAATTTGATGTTGATAAGAAGAAAAAATCAACATCACAATAATCAAAATTCCACATTCTGTGACATATAAGATGCCAAGGTGATACCTGATAACATCAATAAATGTTACAACTAAGGAGGTGGACAAGAAAAAATTAAATTTTGATGATTGTGGTTTGGGAAATCCACGGGAATTGGATAAAGTAGTGGGCAAAGATGAAAGAGGAAAAATCATCTTTTGTTGCTTGAAACAATTGGAGTTGAAACAACCTTGAGAATAGAATTAATGGCTTTGTCACAAGGATTAAATTCTGTTTCTTCAGTTGGATGGATAGCTTTACAAATAGAAGGGGTTTGTCAAGTTGTGATAAATCAGATGACATCTAACCAACAGGGGCGGAACCAGGGATGGCAAAGGGGAGCCATGCCCTCCCCCCCCCCCAACATCCTGGCTCCACCCCTGCTAGTGTACCTTGGGTGCTATGGTTTCCAGTAAGGGAAACAAAGGCAATGGTTTCTAATATAAATTGCCTTGTTCAGGTGGATTCCAAGACCAGAAAATGCCCTTGCTTATAGTTTTCCAACGCAGGAGTAAATAGGAGTAATCTGGAAGGGGGTAATCCAAAGCCAGATGGAACAAAGTAAAGAATTACTCTGCTCTTTTATATGTAATCCGGAGTAGCAGTCATCTATACACTATCTTTGTATTGTACTTGTCATCCACTTCTGTGGAAGGGGATCCATATTTCCATCTAATGGAATTCAATTTCTATTGACTAGCAAAAGAAGAAAAAGGTGTTACACAACTATGATTGATGATGATAACAACAATAAGGTCATAGATGTAGTATTTGAATCATAAACCTAATTTTAAGAATGGTAGGCATGATAACCAGAACCAATACTATGGTTCAAAGAATCTCACAGAAGTGATTGAGTAAATGGCATTTTGGTCAAAGATCCATCAATACAAAGTGATTGTGGTATTCAAGATTGCAGGAGAGTACTCGCAATAGCACATAAAAACGCTTGACATACTAAAATCAGTAGGAATATCCTACAAAATCAACAAGTGGAATCTGAGGTAACAATTCCTTATAGTTGTTCTTCAGTATTAGGTGTAAGATGTTGCATCATCACATATTGAACAACTTAACTATTTATTCTGCAAGTAAACTAATGCTGAATTGCTGATTATATATTATTCAAAAAAAGAGAAACACAAGTAAAATCTGATATAATTTTTGTTTGTACTCAACCCTTGTGATTTTAAATGTTCAAGCCATACACAAATAATTGATTTACCTGTTCCACAACTGATTTGGATGATGATTAGATGGTAAATAAACGAAGCAAAGAATACTCAAGGAAGGCCAAGCAGTTTCCATATTGCTCAATAAATCATAACAATGTTTGGCACAGGAGACTGTAGTCACAACTAGAAAGAATCAGACAAAGGCAAAAATCATTAACGAAATACCTGCAAGGGTCTCATCCTTTACAATTGCATCAATAGCATTGCTTAAGAAAAATTGTGGAAGCACCAAGGAAGATATCAATGCAACAGGAGCCAAAACCCAAATGAAAGAACCTGTGCCATCCTTGAAAGGGGACGATACCAATTTTCCTTCCTCTATCACCTGGTGGGTTATCCCGTAAAAGGAAACTGAACCCGATTTCCCACGAAAGGGTTCTGCTCGATCAAATTTATTGGCGACCACAGGACTATTCCTCCTCGAATTTGGAACATAACTTGAAGCATTGGCTGCAACTTCTCGACTCAAATTTGGCAATTGAAACTCCACAGTTCTTTTCTTGAAGCCAAACGTAGTATATGCTGAAGAAAACCTTTAATTACAACACTACAAAACAGAAAAAAGAACATGCATTTGCTGCTAATAAATTTGAGAATAGGAGAAGACATACATTTTGAGGGTTTCATAAATCGGTCGTTCTGAAACTCCCATTTGATATAGGTTCCAGATATCTTGGGACAAACAAGACTGGGTGCAGTAACCTATGTAACAACCAAATTTTAAAACAAAAAATGAACGAATAGATAAAAGAATTTGGTGAAATAGGAAGGAAGAGTATCACTGCGGAAGATGTTAGGCTCTCTGATAGAAAAATTACTTACGAGTTTACGAGGGTAGGATAATTTGGTACTGGGAACTGGATACCAACAACTGCACCAGATAGACTGCAAATCCATTTGGGTTTCGTTTTCTCGTCGGTGGCGGGAACCGGGATGTTCTCTTACATTTATCCAAACTATCCTTCCAACTGTTTAAGTTTCGAACATTAAACCCTAAACCCTCGCAGGCAGACATGCGTAACAACCCAGAGCTTCACCTGTTCGTGGGTCAACCCGATATACCCGAACCGAACCAGAATCTGGGTCTGCATTTTGAGTTCCAGTTATAGCTGACGGGTGTAATCGAGCCGAGTAAGTCGAGTTTTGGGTGGCTTAAGCTCGAGCTCGACTGCTTGATTCAAAAATTCGGAGCTGGAAACTTGACTCAAGTTCTGTCGAGTTTTTAGTTTTATACTTCAACTCGAATTGACTAAATACTTGCGAGTTACTCGAACTCGACTCGGTTGATGTCAATTATAAATAAATTTTTATTAAAAACTATAAATAAATTAATATTTAAAATTTTATAAATAAATATATATTAAAATTGTTTATTATATATTAAAAATTATAAATAAATCAATACTATGAAATGTTATAAATAAAAATATATTATGAAATTTGACTATAAATTTATTTATTTATATTATAAATAAATACATTTAAAACACTAATATTTATTTATATTATAAATATAAATATATAAAATATAATATTTTATTAAAAACTTCATAAGCTAAATTTAAAAAGAATACAAATACAAATATATAACATAAATAAATACAAAATACAAGGTTTTACATTCTACATATTTACATTTATACTCCTTCCAAACTCAGCCTATTCACGAACTACTCAAACTACATATTATAAAGCTCAAATTCGGCTTAACTACCCTCTCAAATAAAATCTATTAATAAAACAAAACCTTTTGAGATCATTATCACTCTGGCCAATAAGATCTCTCTCTTAGTCAATGTTTAACATTTTTACTTTGACCCATTAAATACCAAATCCATGTCTGTACATTAAAGTAAGTTGCCTAGGCATAGGTTTTTTTCTCTTTTGATTTCCTTTTTTTCTAAATGCTATAAACTCCAACCATTATAACGATGAATGATAGTAGTCTTCGTGCTCATAAAACTTATTAATACGTGGCAATCTTGGGTGCTCACATGGACCCGCTTGGTACGATCGGTAGGACCATGCTGGGCCTAGGATTTTAAGTCCATAGGTTGGGTTGGCATGGCACGACCGAGCGGGTTGTGCAGCCCGCGGCTGGCACGGCCCATATATTTATATAATATTTATATAAATTATAATTATATAATAATATATAATATATTAATAAAATAAATACTTTTTATTTTATTATACTAATTTATTTAATTATTATATATAAGTAATTGTATACATCAAAATTCATATAAAACTAAAATTTTAAGTTTTTTGTCAATTTTTTAAATAGCTTTGGCCCGATGGATTGCCCGACCTGGCCCAAGGCTCGACCCACAGGCCCGCACGGGCATGGGCTGTGGGCCATGCCAAGCTGACCCCCCAAGTTATCCCAGGGGAGGGCAACATGAACCGGCATGGCACAACCCTCACTTTGTGCAGGCACAGCCCGTTTTACACATCTACATCTGGTAGGGTGCAAATGGATTGGATCATGATCCGATCCGATCATATTTCGTTGAATTCGGATCACCCCTGGTCGGATCTTCATATCAGATTCGGATCACCCCCCCCCTTCCAATCCAATGTGTTATATATTTATAAATATAAATATATATAATACATATATATGTTATTTATTTATTTATAAATATATTATTTATATTGTATTTTTATAAATTTCTTATACTATTTACTTTTTATAATAAACATGTATATATATGATGAAAATAATTAAAAAATACTTTTTTTGTTTTTTTTTCTTTATTTAAATTGGTATATTTTATTTTTTCTTTTAATAATCTTTAAATTTTCAAAAAAAAACAAGTCAAATCAAATCAGATCCGAAGATCCGATAGGATTCGAATTCAAATCAAGTCCTATCAAATCCGATCGGATCTTCAAATTGGATCGAATCCGACATGAAAAGTGTTGGAATATACCTTGATTCGAGTCCAATCCAATCTGTTTGCATCCCTAACATCTGGAGTTCAAGCAAGACACCTAGAGCTTGGGTAGGACACCTGGAACTCGGGTAAGACACTTGAAGCTTAGGTAGGACACCTAGAACTCAGGTAGGACACTTGGAGCTCAGGCAGGACACCTAGAGCCAAAGTGAGACACATATAGGTGACTCATGCGCCACGTTATTGATGCATGAAGAAAGCTCGGGGCCCATTGATTGATAGAATAACCATGTGTGATGATGATGATGCAAGTGAGGCTGCTAGATGATCACTCTACGTACACATAGTGGAGCTCGGGTGTGCTTCTTCAGGTGCAACTCGCCTTGGTGAAGTGTGCTTTCTCATGCATATAGTTCGACTCATACATCGAGCTACTACTTGGTGGCTCAACGATTTAATTAGGGTAGTGACCAGGTCGCTCGAGATGAGTCCAACTTGCAAGAAATGAACCGCGTTAGAGCGAGGTGGACCCTGGGTGAGCAAGGCGGGTTCTATTGGTTCAAAGTGGCGTTGATCAACTGAGAAGGGAGCTCACAGGTGGAGGCGTGGGTGTCCTTGGAGCACATGTCTAAATTTTGTCAGTCACTTCCACCTCCATCAAAAAGTATTATAATAATAATTCTAACAAATACAAGTAAGAAATTATGACAGGTTGGTTGAGATTATGAATATGAGTTCTAATATCAGAGTCAAATTGCACAAACAATCTTGCATACTAGCCATAATAAGCAAGAAAATTATAGTCTTGCTGAAAAAAGGAAAAATTCTTTGTCAGTACCTTGAGTGTTGTCTCAAATCAGTCCCCGAACTTGAAAACGTATTTATGCAGTACCTGAACTTTTAAAGCGTGTCTAATAGGTCCCTACTGTTAAAGTCTGTTAGTTATCTGTGACATGTGCCACTTAAAACTTTTGAAAATGTCAAACCTACATTTCAAAATAAGACATTGTTCATTGTCTTCTATCTTAAAAGAAGACATTGTTAATTACAATGATAGATAAATTGCAAAGAAGCAACTGATACTCTGTCTAAATAGTTAAACAAATTCATATCATTGAAAAACTGTGAGGAATCACCGAAAATACGAAGGGAAACAAGGGGATGTTGTTGCTGTGAAACCACAAAAAAAAATTCATCATTTCAATCTTCAAGATAAAATCCTTGAATTTACGCCAAATTCTCCCAAACACGGATGGCGACTAGTTAATTCCTGTTGTGAGAACCTACAACTAAACTGGCGCTGGCCTCCATTGTTCAAAACAAAGAGACCACACCCACGGACCCAATTTTGCTCCATATTTGCCCTTATCCTCCCAAACCCATATCAAAAACCCAATCTTTTTGTTATATTTATTATGAGAAGACGACGATAAAACTCAGGATCAAAGCCGTCGTCACTGTAGATGAAGCTCCCCAATGTCTGTAGTGTCGTGGCTTTTGAAAGTAAACAAAGATTTGGCGATTCTATGGTGTCATACCTGACATTGATTGGAAAGACACCGGTTCAAACTTCAAACATTGTCTAGCATCAATTCAATTCTCATTGATGGCCATTGAATGAGTTTGTCAACCTTGTAATATTTTCTCATTTTTTCAATATTTTGATACTAACTTAAATACATGGGTTTTTGTGTGGTCTGGTTCTTTGTGATCTAAGGACTGAATGAAGGCAAAGGCGCCAAGTCCATGACTCTAGCATTGGCCTTCTTGCATACGTTGGATCACAATTCTATGTCAAGACCCAATTGGATCACAATTCTATCTAAGTTTAAATTCTGACGGGGATGTAGACTCCAACCATTTCAATTGAGTTGTAATACCAATGGAGTGTAAACTTTGGGCCTTCCTTGTGAACCCACCAAAAGTCTGTCATCCCTTGTAAAGAAAATTATTGAACATCCCTATGACAGCAGAACGGGGATGGGCGATGGTTTGAGCAGTGGAAAAAGGGAGACAAAGAGGAGGGAAAAGCCGGGGTAGAGGGAAAAAGAGAAGGGGAGAAGGTGAGAACTGAGTGAGAAATGAGAGAGGGGAGAGATGAAATCACCACCACAGCTGTTGTCGTCTGTCAACAGATTCATGTCGGTCACCGGTAATCTATCATTTCACAAGTTCATGTAGTTTTGACATGTAAGTTCATGTAATTCAGGTAGTTTTGGCTCGCTCGAATCGAAAGGAGTTTTGTTTGAATTGGTTCATGTGAACGTGGCGAAAAAAGAAAATTAGATGACACTTGATGGGTAGTTTTGACATTTCCAAAATTAACAGACTGTTAATGACAGGGCCTATTAGACACATTCTGAAAAGCTCAGGTACTGCATAAACATGTTTTAAAGTTCAGGGACTAACTTTAGACAACCCCTAAAGTTTAGGGTACTGATAAGGAGTTTTCCCAAAAGAAAAGACAGTTGTAATCTTGGCCCTCATTCTAATATACTCTCTTGGCATAAATTCCAATAAAAAAAGGCTTTTGATGTTTGATAAGGTGGACAGAATAATATAATAATTTTTTTATAATAATTACTAGTTATGATAATAAATAGTAATTACTAAAATTAATAACGTTTATTTTATCTTGCTCATTGAATTTACTTCCTATTATGCATGATGTTATGATTCCACCTACTTATATAACTGATTTGAAGCTTGACAAAAAATAATTTGGACACACCACATCTGGTTGATATATTTTGATATGGGTACACCATGGCTAATTTAATTTGACATGGTCACACCACATTTTGCATCTCTTACTTTCATAGGCATAGACGAAAACATGAAGAGGACTTTATTATTTGTGATAGGGCTACAAATGGAAGGTATTTAGTCCAAATTTTATTTGTTGATATTCAAAATTTAATAGGATTTTTTATCTATTGGAGGGCTTCTCATTCAGACAAGTGACATCATTTTTTTTAATGGTGCAATTATATGTTAAACCATTCCAATATTAATTCAGAAATTGATTTACTTTCTAAATTTGTCATTCATATCAATTGCTCAAAGGTAAAGACATAAAGTTAT